AACACCATTCTCGATGTAATACCAAACATCACAGAATTATAATCACTAACATTTTTGCAGTCCTGAAACCGGAGATGTAACCACTTATGTATGGCTTTTGGTAAGATCACATATTTATCATGACTCTTGCCTTTTTCTCATCTGATGTCGGTTTCGACTTATCGATGGTATCAAGAAGCTCGTTTCTTCTTAGATGCATTTATGCACCTACTGCCCATGTCATATAATTTTTTCTAGTAATATCAAAGGCAGCAATTTCGAGCTTTGCAAGATTTGACGTTATAACTGAATAATAAAAGCTTAATTTATTAAATGAAAAATTAAAAATTTGAGATGGTAATGGTATAATAAAATGCAATATTTAAAAGTAATATGAGGAGGCAGAACCTACCATACGATTGCTGTTTGCATAATAAATAAATAAACAAAAATGGGGAGTTTTAATCACCCACACAATAAATTAATAAATTAATAAACAAATAAATAAAGATAAAGATTTTAATCTTCCACTCCATGATCTGAGGAGACAGAGTCTATCATGTGATCATTTTGATCATGAAGGCATAGCCTACCATAACGATCTGCTCGGAGGAAGCAGAGCCTACCATACCTGCATAATAAACAATATAATTATTTGATCGTGGATGCATCCCCTACCATAACGATCAGCTTAGAAGAGGCAGAGCTTCATCTCGGCATCACATATAAATGGAGAAAGCAGAGATTATATTTCTGTAAATAATAAACTTTAAAATAAATTGAACTAAATAAATCTTACTTTCTGGATATAGATCTGACTTCAAAATATAGATCAAGAGATGCCTGAGTAAGAAATTGGGGAAAGGAAGAGAATTAAATGTTTCTCTTACTTATTACTTATGTGTTATTGTGTATAAATTACATGAGATGAAACTTTTATATAATAACATTCGAGGCGGTGGAATGTATATTGATAAAATATATTGGATAATTATTATCCGTTTATAACACTAATTAGTTTGTGTGCCTTAATAAATTGATAAGGCCCTCTCCGTTCACCGGAAGTGAAATTACAATCTTTTGCGTTTTTTTTTTTTTTGGATTTTTATATAAAGCAGAAAAGAAAAAAAGAGAAGAAATAAAAAAGTTTTCTTAGGGTTTCGATCGAAGCGGGAGAGAAAATCCAGAGAGGAAGCCATGGATGAAGCTTTAGCGAGCGCTTCTGAAATCGGTGACCAGCGTCAGAAGATCGAACAGTACAAACTCATCCTCTCCTCTGTTCTTTCCTCCAACGATCTTCTCCAAGCCCAAAAATTCATCAATCACAGTAATATCATCATCTGAACTCTTCTTCTCTCATGTTTTACACTTCCTGAATGATTCCACAACTGCTTTTATGTTTTTTCTTCTCGATTCGGAGTATATTCGTATTTTTCCGATCGATTTTCCGTCCAGGAGTGATTTTGTTTCGGGAACAAATTTTCCAGTTCTATCCGATTATGTCCCGTTGGTGGTATCGAGGCAGCTTTTGCAATCTTTCGCACAAGAGGTAGGGAGACTGGAACCGGAGACGCAGAAGGAGATTGCGCAGTTTACACTTACCCAGATTCAGCCGAGAGTTGTTTCCTTCGAGGAACAGGTTTTTGTTTTCTCTTTTGGTTTTAGAAATCGTGCATCGATAATACCTTATTGTTTAGGAGCTGTAATTGCTAAACCCTATCTAGTATAAACTGCTTAGTCTGAGACTCTGAGTGGAGAAGTTATGTAGAGACGGTGCTATTGTATCTCTTTAACGTTTCCTTCTACACTGAGATTGGATTGGTGTTTACTAAGGATGCTCTTATTTGGGGTAACTGAGACAATGTACATTGGGTTTCTTTACAATCTCTTTGTTGTGGATTTGCAGGCACTTGTTATCAGAGAAAAACTTGCAGGCTTGTATGAATCAGAGCAGGAATGGTCGAAAGCTGCGCAGATGTTGAGTGGCATTGATCTGGACTCTGGAATGAGGTGGGACAGTGAGCGGAAATTTCTAGTTTTTTTTTTTCCTTATGTTATTATTTTCTGTTGCTTATTTTGGATTTGTTGTATTCTCCATTAGGGGCGTTGATGACAACTTCAAGCTCTCAAAGTGTATCCAAATTGCTCGTTTGTATCTCGAGGTTTGTCTTTCTCTTCCACGTACATATGCATAATAGATTTTGTATTTGTAAGCATGTAAATCGCATGTATGTAGTCATGGTTTATAGCTACTCGGTCTTGTGTCCTTATGTGTTTGCACTACTATGCAAGTTGCAGTAGTTAGATCTTAAAATCTGAAAAGGAACCAGTTGTTGTTTCAAACTTCTTTAGTTGGACATTCTTGATAAGTTTTGTTGAAACTTAACGTCTCTTGACCAAATCTCTGTGTCATGAGACTATGAATATCGACTGTCTTAAGATCATTAATCTGGTTCGCAATATCACTTGAGTAGTTAATTGAGGCTACCCGGTTGTATAAATATGTGTAGTTTATTTTGATCATTCTGTAACACTTTTGTGTTCTGAATATCTGCAGGATGATGATGCTGTAAATGCAGAGGCTTTTATAAATAAAGCTTCTTTCTTAGTAAGCAGTAGCCAGAACGAAGTTTTGAATTTGCAGTACAAGGTTGGACCGCGTTAAACTAAGAATTTATGTGCTGAGTGATTTAGGAGCATTCGATTTTGGGTTTTAATATATATCATTTTCAGGTTTGCTATGCTAGAATTTTGGACATGAAAAGAAAGTTCTTAGAGGCTGCACTTCGGTATTACGGCATTTCTCAGATTGAAAAACGTCAAATAGGGGATGAGTAAGTGAATCTACTTCTCTGCACGCTATAACATTTACTACTTTTTTTAATCCCTCACAGTGCGATTGAATAGTCTCCCTGTTTTCTCTCGGTGGTTTGTGATGTTATGTTGTTATTCTGAAACGTGTTTGTCCTAATGTTTCCTAATATTTTCAGAGAGATTGATGAGAATGCATTGGAGCAGGCCCTATCAGCTGCTGTCACGTGTACCATATTAGCTGGAGCCGGTCCTCAACGTTCTCGTGTTCTTGCAACTTTGTATAAAGTAATGCCCTGTGGTATCATTAATAGAGTCCTATTTGTTGCTTGCTTAATTATCTTTTTTTCATTCTCAATATCTCTTTATTTAACAGGATGAGCGTTGCTCCAAGCTGAAGATTTACCCCATCTTGCAGAAGGTTATATCCGTTTTTCCATACCATTATTTCCTCTAGTAAACAAACATATATATTTTCATGCACTTGGACATAATGTCGTTTGAATGCATGGTGTTTATTAGGCTTCATTTATAAACAAATCGTAAAACTTTCACCATAGCCTATAGAAGCTTGGTCAGAACTACATGCCAACTTTATATTTAAACGTAAATTTGTAGGTGTATCTGGAAAGGATCTTAAGGAAACCAGAGATTGATGCTTTTGCAGAAGAACTAAGGCCACATCAGGTGTGGACTGTTATTTTGATTTAGATGCAGTATTTGCATATCATCTGACTTGTTAAGTTCATAACATTTTCTTTCACCTCTTTGGTTTTCAACAGAAAGCATCCTTGCCTGACAAATCCACTGTGCTTGACCGTGCCATGATTGAGCATAACCTTCTAAGTGCAAGCAAACTTTACACAAACATAAGGTATAAACAAGATAAAGATTTAGTATCTTGTACCGTTTTTTTTATGTCTTTGTGAGACTTGCTTTGATTTTGTAAACTTAAATTCTCCTAATATTGTTTATCTTAGGTTTGATGAATTGGGAACTCTGCTGGGTATTAACCCAAGCAAGGTATAATATTCAAAATCATTATGTTAATCTCCTTTATCTTTTCGCTTCTGCTGAGTTATTAATCCATAAGTTTTTTCTTCCTGAAGGCGGAAAAGATAGCATCTAATATGATTGGCCAAGACAGAATGAGAGGTTCCATAGATCAGGTAAGCAATGACATTGACAAATACTTTGTTAGTTTAGTCATTATGCGAACCATTAAGAAAATTCTTGTTATTGAGTGTTCTTTACAAGAAGGTTCATACATGAGTTTTGATCTGTTATATGTTTATGTAACTGTTCAGGAGGAAGCTGTGATACATTTTGAAGATGACATTGAGGAACTACAACAATGGGATCAACAAATATCGGGATTATGCCAAGCTCTCAACGACATTCTAGATGGAATGGCAAAGAAAGGCTTGCCTGTTCCTGTCTGATTGATTCCAAACGCCGTGAGACTCGTCTCGTGATGATTACTTAAATATTAGCCGATGAGAGTCTTGAAGCCTAAGTTTTTGCCAAATTGCTGTGTTTTGGGGACGGTTAATTTCATGCCAGTTGCTTTTGCAAATTCTTGTCTATGCCTTTAGGTTAACTGATACAGAGAGGGGTTTTAAATTGGGCATTGAATGAGGATTTATGAAAAAGCATTCGCATATTCTTTTACCTCAGTGCAAATTATTTTATATAATACTGCTGCTTAGGTATAACATTGGTCTGAAAAATTAATTATTTAGATATTAACTTACTTTAACTCTTCTTTAAGATATCAGATTTTTTTCCAAACCTTGCAAATATGTCGTGATGATATAATAGAAGAAGAACGAATCGTCAGTCAATCGCTTGTAACACCAAACAATTTAAACTTACGTTATTTATATGATGATTTAAGAAAAAGCATTCGCATATTTTTAGTTTACTTCAAAAGAGGTTCTGGGTAATATTATTTTACCTCAGTGCAAATTATTTTATACAACAAAATTGCTCTGAAAAAATTTAGAGTTTAATTTTAAAGTTACATGTTTGTTTTTTCAACTTTGTTTCTTTGAACGATCTGATATTTTTCCAAACCTTGCACATCATAAATCTGATCAAAATTCAATAAGTCGTGATGATAATAGAAGAAGAACGAATAGTCAGTCAATCGCTTGTACCAAAACCAAACAACTTAACTGAGACTGTTATTATAAAAGCGAAGGAGATTAGATTTCAAGGTTCCACGTTGATTCTGCAGTCAATTTCGGCGTTTTCACTTCGTCCGCCAGATTCACAGATGCACATACCTGTTGAATAACAAGAAGAGAAATCCCATCAACCATAAAAACTTTCAATGTCAATATTACACTTGAGAAATTCTAATAGTCCATTAATCTTTACGAACTAAATATGATTTGCCAATACACAGAACCAATCTAAAACTCCAATGGATCTTTCCTTATATACTGATGATGTCAATAAGATATGAAACAGTTTCCTCCATCAAATCAATGGTACCAAGTTTCAATTTAAGTCACTGATGCCACTAAAAGAACTTAGAGAACATTTAAGCTTCATAAGATTGACATAACCAGCAGGATAAAACCGATATGGACTCTCGTGCGGGTATTGTATCTACTACACACATAAGAGAGTGTAGATGTTTCTTTTTTACCTTGAAAGATCCAGTAGATTTGGAGTTCCTTGACCATTCCATACCAAGCAACTTACTTGATGTCTGATAAGTAGCCCTGACAACATCATCGCCATAAACTTTCCGAGAAACCGCGAAATCCCACGTGTTTTTCGCCAAGTCGTAGCACGGCTCGAACGTAGCCATCCCTCCATGGTTGTAAGTATACTTGAGCTTACAGTTCTTTGTGCCAACCATGTAATTAGCAGAGAGTTTGTTTGCAGAGTCAATCAAAAGGGTTCCATCAACAATCGTCCGGTCATCTCCCTTGCTATGAATGTAAGTCAGATTCAATGGTTTCTCAGCAATCCTTACTGTGTTCATGAACTGAAACCTAACATCCTGTAAAGCACAAAGAACCAACATTATTAAGCAAATGAGAGCACAGAAATGTTCTCCTTCAATACTTGAGTAATCTTAAAGAGTCGATTGCGAATCCGAACAACTTTCTTCTGTTTGATTCATTAATTTCTGAATCGGAATAAGATATGTAACCAGTCCTGAGCTATGGATTCTTAAAATGTTATGGTTCGCTACTAGTGGAGTCAAAAGGAAACGCCAGATTACGAATTCGAACAACTTTCTCCTGTTTGATTCACTGATTTCTTCAGAACTAAAGATTTAACCATAAGAAATTCAAAAACTGATTTATTCTTAGGGTTTAATCGGAATGGTGTCACTGCGAGACCTTCCATGGAAATTGTAAACTAGGAATTAAAAGATTTCAAGTAAAGCAGGAGAAAGCACAAGAGCGAGTTACTTTCTTAGGGACGTTGTACTCGACGATGAAGAAACCAGGCTTCTCGACGGCGAGGGAGAGGCCGTGCAAGGTAGGGCCAGCGACGAGGGTAGCATCAGTTATGGTGGCGCGTAGCTTAAGATCGCCGGCGTTGAAGGCGAGTGAACCAACTCCAGTGCTCTTCTCGGCATCGTACTTGCCTTTGAGAGAAGCCTTCATCGTTCGTTTTCCGTTTTCGCTCAGTGGAAGTAGAGAGAGGTTTGGTGAGAGCGGAGGCGATAAAAACACGGTGTTATTATTCTTCAGCTGCGTGTTCTTCGTTTCGCACGTGCGAACATTTCCCTTGATTGGGTTGGGTGTCCCCTTAAACCCTCCATCTCCTTCCCAAGTATTTGATGGATCAAAATTTCACTACCCCTCACTTTTTTCTATTTTTTGATACTAAATTATAAACAAACAAATATCCCAATTAAATTCCAACAAGTCGATCCTTTTTTTTCTTTTTTTCCAACAAAAAATGCAATACTCCACCATTTAAACACCGTTGAAATTTTATATTTACGGTGAATTATGATAATTTTCCCTTTATGAATAAATTAACAAGTTTATATAATGAAAATCAATTTATTTGATGTTATTTATTAATTTGGAGATTTTGTTTTTTTTTCTATCTATTTGGTTATTAAACTTATTTTTTTAAGTTAAAATATGGTTTTACTTTGATATTATAGTAGTTGAGTGCATATGAAATAATACTAAACGTACTAAATCATAGTAGTTTCGTAAATATAAACTTTATGGGTACTAATAAGACAAATAATATTACTCACACAAAATTGAGTATACTAAAGCAAACTGCTATTGCTAAAACAACGACTATAGTATGCTGAGACCAATTGGTATTAATGAGAGAACTGATGCTATTGAGATAACTGGTATTAATGAGAGAACTGATGCTATCGAGATAGTATTATTGAGATAACTTGTATTACTGAGACAGTTACTATAATTTCATAGTAATGATATATTTGTTATCTTGTTAATGGGATAATGAATAGTAGTTCGTGTGATAAAAAAGAATGAGAAGAAATTTTTGTCTACAATAGGCCTGTTTGTTTGGGTGCGGCAGCTTCTAAAATTGCTCTATCTGCGGCTGACGCAGATCGCTGCGTTAAAAAATTTTGGACGCCAAAAAGTCGACCGTAAAAAACTACGACCTGCGATTAATTATTGTTCGTTTTGTTGCCGTGGGTATCTGCGATTATAAAACAAACAATAATTTTTTGTTGCGACAGCAGCTGCGGCTACAAGTAAGAACATGATTAGTATGCGAATGTTTAAACCAATGATGATAACAACCAAAAGAGTTAAATTTGAGTGAACAAAAGGTATCTAATACATAAAACAACAAACAGAATCCAACGTTTCTTTCTGGGTTGCGACAAAAAAGGGAAAGAGGAACATGAAAAAACCTCTTTATCTCGCTGAAAGCAGTCTAACAAAACTTCCTAGAGAGATAAAAAAACAAGTTCCATCCCATAAATTAAGGAAACAAAGACTTGTCCTAAGAAAAAAACGAAATGTACAATGAAAAACCTCAAGACCAAAAGTGTATAAACATAATCCAAACTTTCTTCCTCTTAATCCTCAATTGACTGAATTTCTCCCATCATTATCCTGTTACTAACCACATTAAACCCAAGAACCGATGCGCTCAAGCTTACCTTCTTCCCTTTCTTCGCCTTCTTCTTTCCTCCAACTTTCGAGAACCCTTCATTTGCAGGTGCAGGTGCGGTATAATAATCTTGGCCAGCGTTGTTTCGGGTCCCGACTACAGACCCCTTCGATTGAAAGGCAATCTCGACTACTTCTGATGGTAACAGGTCTTTGTAGTTGAGGAACTTGTCGATGAACTTGTGGTCTGGATCAAACGATCCAAGATTCTCTATCAGAAGGGTTTCTGCTTCTGATCGGGATAGCTTCAGACAAAACTCCAAGACACTTGTATCTGAACAAAAGGGATACACATCAAGAACATAATTAAATGTTTGATCAAAGTATAAAAGAGATGATGTCTCTTCAATCTGTGAAAACAAAGTGCAATATGAAAATTGTTTACCTTCTGAGCCAAGAAGTCTGAGACATTCGCTTCTGCACCAATCTCTGAAGCCATTGGCCTCTGGGGAAACCATAAACACATGAGAAAAACAAGCTTATAATTTTGTAGGGACAGATATTGTCAGTGAAAAGGCAAACCTGTGAGTTTTGTCACTGCCTCCTTTTTCCCTTTATGGGACGCCTGAGCGATAACAGGTGAAGACAAAACACGATCTGCAGTTCCAGTTGACACTGGTTTCTGTCGGTTCACTGAGCTACTTCCTGCATTTACTTTCCCAGGTGTGTTTTTGGTTCCCCAACTGTTTTGACTTGAAAGATGAGGGAAATCTCCCCTGCTCGAAAATAACATGCAAACTCATTTAGCATGTTCATTTTATAAGGGACAAGGGATAGATTCAAGGAAACTCAAGGAACAAGAGATAGATTCTTACTTTTTTGATTCCTGGGCTGATTGCTCAACCGGACCCCAGAAAAGGTCATCATCTCCTTTGGGTTTTGACTGCGAGGAAGACTGAGAAACAGCCTGCGAAGTGAAAGATCCGGAACGTGACCAGGAGGGTTGAGAAACAGCCTGTGTTGGAGTAGGTTTCTGGATGGTAGGCACTGGACTAGGCGGCGGATGAGACGAGGTTGTCATCTTCTCCTGCTCCTTCACGATGTCCCTAAGCGAGCTAGGTTTAGCGGATTTTGTAGGACCAGTGGACCATGCAGCAGCCGGTGGAGAATTGTTCACAGTCTCTCCTTTCCAGAGAACAAAATCACCAAAAGAAGGGCCTGAAGGAATAGCAGGCAAAACTTCCTTCTCCTGCTGCTGCACAGCACGAGAGCTTTTTCCCTTCTCAACGGAGTTTGTTGGAAGGGGTGTTTCTACAGTAGGAACATGTGCAGAGGTTTTCGCTGCAGAGTTCTTTGCTCTCGCAGACTTCTTGCGGCTCTTTTTTGTTTCCTTGGCCTCAATAAAGTTATCATCATCTAAAGACTCCGCATTAGTGGGTGTGGCTTGCATATACGTGTCGTTAGAAATGGTTTCCATTACTTCCCTCTCTCTATCACTGGATCTGGCCACAACATTATCAGCCGGTAAGTCATGCAAGTGGCTTTTAGGCTTCACAACACCGGTTTGAGTAATATCTGAATTGGCAGCAATCCCACCCCAAGGCGCAGCAAAACCTGCTGGACTCACAGAAGTAGAAGGCTTTGGAGCTAAAGCTTCTGCTTGCGCTACCCTCTGCTGTTCTTCCATTTGAATTTCTAGCAATGACTTCGGTTTAAAGCCAGGGGCAGGTTTCCAAGCTCGTCCCGGTTGCGTTCTTGTGTTTTGCACTGAAGACTCATTCACACCAGATTCTCCCCGGACTGTATCAACTTCGGAACTCCTTAGTGAGGTGTTCGAAGGTGCGGCTGGGGAGCTCTTGATGATGTGAGTATCATTGTCTACCAAAGTGTCAGCTGACTTTTTATTTTTACCCTTTATCTCAGAATCGTCAGCACTTCCTGTTTCAGGTTGCTTTGCCTCCTGCAGAGAAGCTCTAGAAGTTGCCTTAACCGGGTCAGCGGACTGCTTGTTAGCCCGTTGCTTCTTGGACTTCTTTTCAGAAGTCTTCCGCCCTCCAGAAACTTCATTGCTTTTAACTTCAGTTTGAGGAATCTCCACAGATGACTCATTACTGGTCTCTCCCTGTCCAGCATACACATCTTGACCGTGCTTCTCCAGCGACTTACTTTCAGGAGCGGGGCTTTCATTGTTTGGGAAGCTCACAGGTTCTTCCACATTAAGTGTAGTATGATAACCAGGAGAAAGGGCAGGCTTTTCTGAGTACAAGCTGTTCATGTAATTAGCAGCAATTGTTCTTTCATAGTCTGATTTTGAATCATTTTTATGTGTATCATCGATTTCGCCTGCAAGAAGTGTCCCCTCGCTCATCCTAGGGTCAACATGACCAAACATCTGTTGTTGCAGGTGCAGAGGATTGGTTCCGAAAGTAGCAACATTCTGATTAGCGGCATGAGGGAGCGAATCAGTTGAATTGGCACCTCGCTCCTCGTGGGAAACAGGAGCCTGCATCTGCGGATTGACCTGCGTCATATCTTTCGATGCTTGCATTCTAAGAGCATCAAAAGATTGCTGCGACTGTCCATAAGATGGCTCTCCAAACCGCTGCTGAGAACGCTGCTGATCAGCAAGAACCTGGGAAAACAGCTGCTGTTGCTGCCGTAACAACTGCTGCTGCTCTTCTTGTTTCTGCTGGTGTTTAAGCAAGAGCATCTTTTCAAGTATTAGACGCTGCTGCTGTGAAGAAACGGGCGTCTGAGCATTCAGCTGCAACAAGAGCTGTTGCTGCTGCAACAGATTGAGCGATCGCTGTTCTTGAGTGAGTCCAGAGACGAGCATCATATCAGGGGGTAACATGGCAGCTGGATTATTCTCAATAGGTTGACCAAGTAAACCTGCCAAAGGCGAGTTCTGGTCCGATAGCCTCTGCTGTTGGACCCCAAAGGGAGTTTGAGTTTGATTGGAATGCGACCAAGCAGGAAGAGGACCACTAACAGCAGAAGAAGACCTATCAGTTACACCTTGGATGATGGACAACAAATCGGAACTCGGAGATCGGGCAGGTTGTTGGGGATTTTCCGACAAATTCTCCGACCCTGGCATCAGGTTTGCAGATTCCCGACCAGGCCAATACGAATACGGACTCGGTACTGCTATCTGCCGTTCAAGTTCCAATTTCTTTGCCAAGAGATACATGTCAGCCCCACCATCAGTACCTGGTAAAGACAACCCACCAGAACTATTAACTGCATATCCTTGAACACCTGCAGGCACAACATACAAACAAAGAAAGTGAATAAAGTTATTGGTCCTAAGCGGCTAATAGGAAAACGAAATAAATTATAGGAGTACCTTGTGATGAATTGTTCAAACTTCCAGACATCAATGATTCAATAAACCGATTCTCCGCTACAGTCCCTCCAACATGCTTATACCTCATATCATTTTGCAACATTTCAGTTTCACCCATCCCAGAATGAACCTTCCCAACACCAGGGAAGGCTGGTGTAACAGGCGCGTCAATAAATTCGTTTGGCTTGGCACCAGTGAAACCAGGTGGAGGCCCCGACTTAGCACGCAAATGTGGCATTACATCACCGAGTACTGAGAAAGGAGAATCGTTTGGTGCACTCGCAGGACGAACTAGCAAATCTATGCCAAAATATCCAGCTTCAAACCATCCAATGATATCAGTACCAGAAAAGGGGCCTTGAACTAAACCCTGAGGATCTTTATAATAGAGTGAAAGTTCTTCGGGTGTAGATGGCATAAGCTTTCTAACTTCCCGCTCCCTGTCAAACACCAGAGATGGCTGCCTTCTTAGTGCAGGATCTTCACCCATTTGCCACCTTGATTCACCTTTGGACTGTGGCAAGCTCATCACATTGCCGCCTGAGTGGTTTATTGAATCTTTATGATGTGACCAGACATTGTCCGAAGATTTCAGCCTCATATCAGCTGAAGGGTCATTCCAATCATGTGAGATCCTACTCGGCCTTTCTCCCGCCGAAGGCTGGCGCCATGGAGACTGAACATGATTATTTCCCTGCATACCGAGTTCCTTCATTTCTCTAACAGGCACCTCATTGCCTTTCCTAAAAGGAGCATAACCTTCATGAGAAACTGCAAACATGACAGAAACGGCCACAATGTGAGAGGCTAATAAGGACAGAGAAAGAGCAAATCTTAGCATTTGACAACACTGCTCAAAGAATTTCAAAGATTACGAGTTTTCGTCAAAATTATAGAAGAAGAAGCATCAGTAAATTTCGATATCAACTAGCGTCAACATGAGTCGACAAAGCTGCATGAAGGCCACAATATGTCAACACATACCTTCAGGCCTAAACTTATCATCTGGATGGATCCTTGTTTCACCACTTTCATCTTTAGATTCCTCAGCAGCGAATGTCATGTCTTCTCTGCTTCCAGCTGCAACAAGGCATTCACAAAAATTTCACCATTAATATCATACACACAATACACTAGAAGTATGGATGTCTTTCACGGAAATATTTACCAGGCCTGATTCGCCTAGGTTGCGAAAAATCGGCTGGATTCCGTCCGCTAGGGCCATCCCTGGATACCTGAGGGGCACCACTGCTCACTATTTTTCCTTTCTCAATCGCATCGAGAATAGTCTATATGAGGAACAAACAAGAGTACAATGATTAGAACATTGAGATACTATAGAAAGACGAAAAGCATTAACTAAAGCAAAAGAATACTGACCACTTCCTCGGAGCTTGGAGCGCAGATAGCTAGAGGATCCGACATCTGCTCACTCGTAAGCGAAGGCACCTCGATGAACCCATCCGGAAACTTTTCAAAACACGCTGTACCTGCCACCCTGTACACATCCAACAACTTCATTCTGCTATATCTCAGATGGGGAGGCTCTCCATAACCACTTTCCCCCTTCTCAGAGACGGATCCAGGCGGGTGAGACTGGTTCGATGCACTAGTAAAAAGGCTTCCACCAGGACTCATCCTTCCACGACCAGCTGAAAAGATTGCAGCGCCATCTCCACGGCCCCTGCTGTGAGAGAAGCCTGTAGCCTGCTTGTTTGGCGGCGTAGATTGGCTGTGAAGAGCCTCTCCTCTTCCTCGGCCTTGAGAAGGCCTCCAGGGCCGGTAATGCTCTCCGTCACCAGAAGGAAGAGACGGACCCTTCTCACGAACGATTTCACTTTCCTTACCAGCTTCATCCCACTTGGGACGCGTGACCTCGCCTTCCTTATCATCAGGTCCCCAGCGAGAGTTCCACTTGCTCTCACGCCGCTGCTCCGGCGCGGCATCCTTGTTTCCTGAATCGGTCCACCGGTCGTTCGGACCACGGCGTGGCTCCCCAAAGTGTCTAGGCCCCGCGTTATCCCACCGTTCAACCTTCTTATTATCACCAAAGTCTTTCTCCCCATTATTCCTCCAGCGGTCATTCCGGACTGTTGACAAGGTATCCCTTTCCTCATCACGCCAACGATCACCGCGGCCGCTTTCTCCATCAAGCAAGGAAGGCCGGAAAACATCTTTCTTCTTCAGATTTTCCGGTGTCTCCTCCCCATTCCCTGTCGGTCTCACAGCATCGGAGTGGTTTCCATAAGGATTATGCAGCGCCTGAGCTTCCTATAAAAGTGAAACCAGCTCACATGTTAAGCAAATATAAAAACCGAAAGAAAACGAATAAAAAACATAAGCAATATGAACATACCACAGTTCCCATTCCAGCCTTGTTCTCCCCTGGTTTGGAGAGAAGCCACTGTGGTGAAAGAGGGATAGCATTGTCAGAACCCTGGATATCTGCACAGATCAGGCCAAAACTGTCACTCTAATCCTCTGTCATAGACACAGATTCAGGTTGTATCTATAGAACAAGAGCTTTAATTCTGGGTCTTTCAAGAATCAGCTAAGTATAGTCTACAAAACAATCCACAACTGATGGATCTATAGCAATACTAAATAAAAACCAAAACTTAACGCCTGTGGTCTGATAAGTTAAATAATCCAGGAAATTTCATGAGATATTATAAAAGCACAGAGCTTCAAACTATTGGAGATACAACAAAAAGAGGTCAGCTCCCAAATTAAAACCCAAGAGCTGAATAATGGTAAATGTTATAGGTTTTGCTCTAAAGCCTATATGGTATTAAATGTGCAAAATAGAACCGAGGTAAATCAAAAACCCTAATTGAAGGGGGACTCAAAGAGTTAACAGACTCTGTAACGATTAAGTATCGGAGAGAGAAGAAGAGATGCAATCACTCTGATAAATTTTAGGGTTTATATAGCACAGAAACAGAAGAGCTTGATAATGGGAGAACTCGGAACACAATCGTCAAATCATCGGGGAGGAATTAAAAACAGATGAATGGCGGAATTAAACCTTTGAAGATCTGGTGCGGTGGATTGATGGAGAGGTGCTTGTTGCGGTGGTCTGCGGCGGAATCAGCGGAGGAGTTAGCCATGGATGATTCGTTCGGAGTTACAGAGTTACAAAGAGAGAGAGAGAGATGAAGCGAGAGAGATTACGGTGAAGAGGAACGTAGGTTTAAAAGAGACCCCAACAAAGAGAGGAAGGACTAAAGACGGCGTACGTTTAAGTTAGCAATTTCGTATCTAGCGTATTTTAGCAATCATACACCTTTCTTATTGCCTTAATAAAAATAAAAAGTTTTTTCTTTTAGGTTGGACAGTTTCCATATATTATCCACATCGTGTCTGGACTCACGCGCTTACATGGCGCGTGTTTCACATTTGGCGTTAGTGTTAGATGTTACGTGGCCTGTACGCGCGCCGTTCAGTGAACGGGAAGATGAAACCGATGTTTTTATTGTTAATTTGTTGTATTTGTCTGATTGTCTCTCGCTCAAATCTTTTTTTAAACCGAGTCCTTGAGATGCAAAGGAGTGGCGTTCGGGTCCATAGTAAATAGAGGTGTTTGCTAGAAAAGAACCGTAAACCAGGAATTAAATAGGCTGAAATTTGCTACGAAAGAACCTTAAACCGGAAATTAAATAGGCTGAAATTTGCTACGAAGGAACTAAACCAGGAATTAAAGAGGCTGAAAAATGACAGGATTTGGATTGGGTTTTGACTTTTAGACTGGTTTGGTCCTGCTACACAGTTACACACCACATGTGTCTGGTATCTTTATGTGTGGTTTGTAAATGTCATGGTTTTACGACTTTTAGTTCTTTCATAATACAACCGATAAACCATTTTACGACTTAGTTTCTAGCTAGTTCTTTTGTAATATGATTGATAACCATTGTATATATTTTATATATATGAGGGTTTTAGCGTAAGAGAGATAATGCTATTTGGTTAAAACCTTTCATAGTCGTTGCTATATCAAATGGTTAAAATAATTTTTTGAATCCCATGACGTGGTATATGAAATCGAGGAAACATAGTTAAACCAAAACTGAAGTCGATAAAATAAACATAACCACCAATTACCTACTTATTTAACATGCTCTACTATATATTCACTTTCAAAAACTGCGATGATCACTAGAGCATATAGATCCTCATCGTCGATCTGCATCTCATTCATGTCTTGCCGGGTTTTGAAACTTATAAATCTTAGAGTTGTGAGGTAAATTTTACATCTCTAGAGTGGAAACTTTGTTATTGGAGTTTTGGCTATCACATTGTCTTTAGTAAGTTTCCTTTTAATAATTTTTGATTAGGAGAAAGCAAAACTTGTAAATTTTGTATGTCATTATTAGTTGCCGACAGAAACTATCGATGTTGATTTTCGTTCTAAATCGATCTTGTTCTATTTTGAGTTCCAGACTTTGATCATTCTTGTTGTAATTTTGGTTCTATGTTATCTCATTTTAATAGGATAATTTGCCTAGGTAAAATTTGTTTCCTGCCGGTTTTCAAACAATTAATTAAATTATTTTTAATTCTATAAATCAAAGTAAAAATGCTTGGATTCTATAAAATTCTTATAAAGTTACGTTTCAAAAGTTCAAATTATGTACTAGGAATTGACTTTATTATGATTTAATTCAAAATTCCTGAAATGATAAAGAAATTGATTGGAAAAATAAAAAACATATTAATCAAATATTAAAATGAATATAATTGAAAATTATATGTGCTCAGGAGCAAATTTCGAGATGCCACGTGGGGTGTGTGATTTGTCTGATGAGTAGAGCTGTGCCTCCAAGTTTCGTCCTCTGGGGGAAAGGCGACGAGTCGTTCCGGGACGGAAGCCTGCTTAAGTCCTGACAACAGGGTGGTCATAGCGCAGGATCCTGCAAATACTACACAAGAGGTCAGTCGGGTCTTCGGAAAGACCGAAAGGGGGTTTCTTTCCTGAAGGTTCTCTGACACCCAAGTCAATGAACTTCCTACCGGGAACAAATATTCAGGAGGGGTGTTTCTACGGGTTTGGGGTGAGAAGTCTCGTCTGAGGCATATATCTGTTTACGAGTGTTTCGAGGGATGTTCTATATATGAAGGAGAAGATGGGGCTAGTATAAAGGCAATATTCCAGGTCGAGAAGGACTTATCATAGAAGGCATTCACTTTGGATAACAAAGGGTTCCCCTTTGATCATGCTGCTTGCCAGGGCCGGTTGACTCGGTTTCGGTCGGTCACTTCCTCCCTTAGGGGGGTTTCAGGTCCGCCGAGCTGATCCTCTCTTTGTATGGTGATCTCTCTCCTTTTATACTCGCAACTCCCATGTCCTGTCTCCTCCATTCGGCGCGTCAGGAAAGTAGGTGGTGATGATGATTCTTGCGTGTTTGGGGAAGCTCGCCAACTGCCCGGAAACAGTGTGCGGGAGTGGTTCGATCGAGCTATCATGGCGTGTGTCAGTGTCTAAGGCAGTTTAGTTTCCACGTGTTAGATCTTCTTTGAGCCTAGTAAAATCGGTCCCAACAACATGTTAACTAAGTAACAAAAAAGAAAGAGATGAAAAGAAGCTAGAAGGAAAGAAATTAAATCTGGTGGATTGGATTTATCTGTAGGTTAAATTTGTTTTTGGTCGGATTTATTTTCGATCTTATTATTTCTATTTGTCTGTAGCTTTTAATTTAAATTTGTAAAGCAAAAATAAAAATCTTACACAAATTCAAACAAACAATTGTATTTTAGCAATCATACACCTTCCTTATTGCCTTAATAAAAATAAAATGTTTTTTCTTTTAGGTTGGACAGTTTCCATAATTATCCACATCGTGTCTGGACTCACACGCTTACATGGCGCGTGTTTCACATTTGGCGTTAGTGTTAGATGTTACGTGGCCTGTACGCCCGCCGTTCAGTGAACGGGAAGATGAAACCGATGTTTTTATTGTTAATTTGTTGTATTTGTCTGATTGTCTCTCGCTCAAACCTTTTTTTAAACCGAGTCCTTGAGATGCGAAGGAGTGGCGTTCGGGTCCATAGTAAATAGAGGTGTTTGCTAGGAAAGAACCGTAAACCAGGAATTAAATAGGCTGAAATTTGCTACGAAAGAACCCTAAATCGAAAATTAAATAGGCTGAAATTTGCTACGAAGGAACTAAACCAGGAATTAAAGAGGCTGAAAAATGACAGGATTTGGATTGGGTTTTGACTTTTAGACTGGTTTGGTCCTGCTACACAGTTACACACCACATGTGTCTGGTATCTTTATGTGTGGTTTGTAAATGTCATGGTTTTACGACTTTTAGTTCTTTCATAATACGACCGATAAACCATTTTACGACTTAGTTTCTAGCTAGTTCTTTTGTAATATGATTGATAACCATTGTATATATTTTATATATATGAGGGTTTTAGCGTAAGAGAGATAATGCTATTTGGTTAAAACCTTTCATAGTCGTTGCTATATCAAATGGTTAAAACAATTTTTTGAATCCCATGACGTGGTATATGAAATCGAGGAAACATAGTTAAACCAAAACTGAAGTCGATAAAATAAACATAACCACCAATTACCTACTTATTTAACATGCTCTACTATATATTCACTTTCAAAGACTGCGATGATCACTAGAGCATATAGATCCTCATCGTCGATCTGCATCTCATTCATGTCTTGTCGGGTTTTGAAACTTATAAATCTTAGAGTTGTGAGGTAAATTTTACATCTCTAGAGTGGAAACTTTGTTATTGGAGTTTTGGCTATCACATTATCTTTAGTAAGTCTCCTTTTAATAATTTTTGATTAGGAGAAAGCAAAACTTGTAAATTTTGTATGTCATTATTAGTTGCCGACAGAAACTATCGATGTTGATTTTCGTTCTAAATCGATCTTGTTCTATTTTGAGTTCCAGGCTTTGATCATTCTTGTTGTAATTTTGGTTCTATGTTATCTCATTTTAATAGGATAATTTGCCTAGGTAAAATTTGTTTCCTGTCGGTTTTCAAACAATTAATTAAATTATTTTTAATTCTATAAATCAAAGTAAAAATGCTTGGATTCTATAAAATTCTTATAAAGTTACGTTTCAAAAGTTCAAATTATGTACTAGGAATTGACTTTATTATGATTTAATTCAAAATTCCTGAAATGATAAAGAAATTGATTGGAAAAATAAAAAACATATTAATCAAATATTAAAATGAATATAATTAAAAATTATATGTGCTCAGGAGCAAATTTCGAGATGCCACGTGGGGTGTGTGATTTGTCTGAGGAGTAGAGCTGTGCCTCCAAGTTTCGTCCTCTGGGGGAAAGGCGACGAGTCGTTCCGGGACGGAAGCCTGCTTAAGTCCTGACAACAGGGTGGTTGTAGCGCGGGATCCTGAAAATACTACACAAGAGGTCAGTCGGGTCTTCGGAAAGACCGAAAGGGGGTTTCCTTCCTGAAGGTTCTCTGACACCCAAGTCAATGAACTTCCTACCGGGAACAAATATTCAGGAGGGGTGTTTCTACGGGTTTGGAGTGAGAAGTCTCGTCCGGGGATCGAGGCATATATCTGTTTACGAGTGTTTCGAGGGATGTTCTATATATGAAGGAGAAGATGGGGCTAGTATAAAGGCAATATTCCAGGTCGAGAAGGACTTATCATAGAAGGCATTCACTTTGGATAACAAAGGGTTCCCCTTTGATCATGCTGCTTGCCAGGGCCGGTTGACTCGGTTTCGGTCGGTCACTTCCTCCCTTAGGGGGGTTTCAGGTCCGCCGAGCTGATCCGCTCTTTGTATGGTGATCTCTCTCCTTTTATACTCGCAACTCCCATGTCCTGTCTCCTCCATTCGGCGCGTCAGGAAAGTAGGTGGTGATGATGATTCTTGCGTGTTTGGGGAAGCTCGCCAACTGCCCGGAAACAGTGTGCGGGAGTGGTTCGATCGAGCTATCATGGCGTGTGTCAGTGTCTAAGGCAGTTTAGTTTCCACGTGTTAGATCTTCTTTGAGCCTAGTAAAATCGGTCCCAACAACATGTTAACTAAGTAACAAAAAAGAAAGAGATGAAAAGAAGCTAGAAGGAAAGAAATTAAATCTGGTGGATTGGATTTATCTATAGGTTAAATTTATTTTTGGTCGGATTTATTTTCGATCTTATTATTTCTATTTGTCTGTAGCTTTTAATTTAAATTTGTAAAGCAAAAATAAAAATCTTACACAAATTCAAACAAACAATTATATTATATTCAATTTTTATAAACCAACGTTAAAATGTGCATTGAACATGCTTGAATTCTATA